TCCACAGGATTCCAACGACTACCTGGAGTAGGAAGATGGTTCCTATTTTCCAGTCCATAGAGACCATTCTGTCATTTTCTAAGGCTCAATATTCAAATCCACAAGCAGAGGGTTCTGAATGGAAACAAGAGTTCTGGGCTACATTTTCATGGAAAATAAAATCTCCTGCCCTCTTTGAATTAATATATAAAGTATATTTTCTTTTGTTAAGAAATTTCCCATATTTCCTTTGATAGCACTTATGCTGTTTGGTCACTTTTGTTAATGTTTTACTTATTCCAACTTATTTCACATTCACAACTCTGTGAGTTAGGAACTAATATTACTCTCCTTTTACAGACTAGGAGACTTTAACCAAAGAGAGCTAAAGTGACTCATCTAAATAGCACTGGGTAGGCTGGTTGCAATGACAGGCGTGTTTACTACTGTACTGTATTATTACAGTTACCTAGTTCTGCTCTAAACACATATATATATCTTGTCATATTTTAAATTTATATTACTTTATAAACTTGGTTTGATAATGTCCCATTTTTGTCTAAATATTTGTTCTTTAGACTAACATAACTTAGGGGTGAAGATTCAGAGGTCTTAATAAATTATAGATGCACTAAATAATTATACATGACCCAATTTGATTTATTTAATGTGGATAAATGTTAGGACGGCAACAGAAAAACTCCGTCCATTTTCCACCTGGACCAAAAATACAATGGCACTCATTACAGAAATTATTATACAAAATTGGACTGCGCACTAAAATGGGGGACACAAAACATACATGCAATAAGCACTTTAGGGCAGAAAATAAGTTAATCTTATTTAAAGATAATATATATTTAGTATTTTAGAAAAAACTAACTGGAACTTGAATTAATATTTGATTCGGGAAAGCTATTAAAAGACAATAGCAATAAGCAAACTGGAATTTGAAGGCATGGAATTTTTTTCTGATGAAATTATATTTTAAATTAATTTTTAAAAAATGTTTTGCATTCTGAAATCCTCTATTGTGACGTTAACATTTTTTAAAGGACCTTCCCTAATTTCACGAAGGAAAATAGTCTCTCCATGATCAGCAGACCACAGATATTCCCAGCCTAATTTCACGAAGGAAAATAGGCTTTCCATGATCAGCAGACCACAGATATTCCCAGTAGAGAAACATTTACTGTCTCCATTAAGCACATCACACCCGAATGACAGAAAAATAATTATATTTCAGCAATTGCCATTCAGTCACACTGTTTCTATTGAGAATTAGATCATTCCATTAGTTCCATGATACTCATTATCACATGTACACAGCTTTTACAGACATCATGACCCTGATCCTGAAGATGTCTCTGTGGCTTTTGCACACCGTATTGAGTAGTAGATTAACTCTGAAATTATAATCTTGAAGCATCTTAAAATTCAGACTTTGATAGCACTTGGATCAAACACCACAAACCCCATAAACGAAGATTTTATTAATCACATTAGCAGCAGCAGCCATGGGTTGTTTTAGAGTCTCAGACCTCCCGTCTCTCTCCACATGCTCGCCCCATGCCTCAGGAAGTATTCCTCCTTCCTGTACAGTTTTGCCACTGGATCGCATTTCCAGACACGCACACCTACCTAGATTCCTGATACTGCTCCTAACCTTCCCACTTCTCTCAGACTGAAATAGAAAATACTCACGGACTTCTTCCTGCTGCCAGGACTGAGAGCTCAGTGTAAGGATCATAACAGGCCAAGTGTGTGCGAGGGAGGAAGCCAGATCCTGAGATGCGGGGTAGTGATTCTGTGACCTCATTCCCACAAAGAACTGAAAAAAATATATTTTACCAACATTGACTTCAGCAGAGATAGCAACACTAAAGAGACCAATATCCATAGAGGAAAGGGAGGCATTTATAAGAGTCCCTCACAAATAAAAGCACCACGAACAGATTAGCAGGCAGATTCTTCCACTCTTTTAAATAGCACATAAGCCAATGTTATTTACTCAATTTAAGAGCATTAAAAGTAAATTTTCCAAATGATTTACAGGAACCAAAATACTGATACTAAAATGTCCCAAAAGTTGTACCAAAACAGAATACTACAGAAAGATCTCACATCTGCCTACAGATGGCAAAATCTAAAATAAAAATACAGCAAAAAACTGAAAAATACTAGAATACAAAAGTAATATATAATGACCAAGTAAACTCCATATCTGAAAATCAAGAATAAGTCAAAACTTGGAAATCCATTAATATAGTTCACCATATTTATAAGGAGAAATGAGGGGATCCTATTCATAGTTAAAAAAACATCTATTTGGAAGAATTCAATATGTATGGATGTTAAATTAAAACACTCAAAATTAGGAATTGATGCATCTTTCCTAACTTGAAAAACAAAGCCTTCATCTTGCTCATGGGGAACACTAGAGACATTCCACTAAGGTCAGAAAACCACACCAAGAAAGCATATGATCTCCTGTTGTATTCAGTTATCATTGTGTTGGAGGTTTAGCCAGAGCAACTGAAAACGGCATGAGAATTGGAAACAAAGAAGTAAAACTATGTTTGTAGATGATACACTTATACACCTGGAAACACAAATGAATTGACAGAAAATCTACTACAAAAAAATTCATTAAGCTCATAGAACATAATATTCATTTACAAAAACAATAGCTTTCATATATATAAATAACAATCATTTACATACATAAAAACAATTTACATATATAAACAATTTACATATATAAAAACAATCATTTACAAGTTACAGTGGGAGGGGTTGCAATTACAAAAGCATAAAATATAGTGACATAAACTAACCAGGAATAAATCTAACCAAAATATGTAAATCCTATGTGAGGAAAATTATAAAACATTCCTGAAATATATGAAAGTAGCTATAAATAAATGGAAATTCCCATCATGTTTTGGGTAGAAAAACTCAATATTATTTTAAAAAGTCAATTCTCCTTAAGCTAATTTGTAAATTTAATTTGATCCTGATACGGACACCACCAGTTAGTTTTAGGAACTAGCAATGTTATTGCAAAAATCTTATACAATAATGAACAAATAATAGCTACAAAAACTCTTATTTGTTTTTTTTAAGATTGGCACCTGAACTAACAACTGTTGCCAATCTTCTTCTCTTTTTCTTAAAAGATTGGCACCTGAGCTAACAACTATTGCCAATCTTCTTTTTTTTTCCTGCTTTTTCTCCCCAAATCCCCCAAGTACATAGTTATATATTTTAGTTGTGGGTCCTTCTAGTTGTGGCATGTGGGATGCTGCCTCAACGTGGCCTAATGAGCAGTGCCATGTCTGCACCCAGGATCTGAGCCTGGGAAAGGCTGGGCTGCCGAAGCAGAGCGAGGGAACTTAATCACTCGGCCACGGGGCTGGCCCAAAAACTCTTAAAAAGACACAAAATGAGTGTGGCTGTCCCCACGAGAGATGTTTATTCACGAATATACTGATGGATGAGTGAAGGTAAAAATTCGGAAATATGCCAAAGCTCATAAGAAAAGTTAATAAGCAGCAAAAACTACAGCGGAGATAACATTAATACTTGATCTTTGGGAAACGGAAATTCCTATCAAAATGACAATAAAATCGTCTTATTTATTGTCCTATAGCATCATAGTAAGTAAAAAAACAAGAGAGACAGAAATCTTCATGGTAAAAATAATTAAAATAGGGTTGAATTCCTTCCTAAGGCTGATTCTCAAGCACCTGACTGTAGTCAACTTCCTACTCGTTGCCTCTAAAGGCGTCCCTCCGATAATGACGTGTTTGGGGTTGAAAAATTTCCTCATTGATTTTTGATGCAAACTTGTTGTGTATGGAATACACAACTCCCTGAAACGATAATAAGACAGATGTAAATTTTTGTTTCTTTAAACAACGTGCAGTCATTTCCTCACTCATTCCTGACAGAGATTTAAGCGCTAGGATGAGCAGTCACATAACAGAGAGGCTGTGAAAAACAGACTGAGTCTGCGTTCACAGAATTCACAACGTAGTAGGCACAGTAGGTACTAAACTAAATACTATGTAGAATGTAATAAAATTTCCATTATATTCAATGTTGCAAAGGAGAAGTTTAGAGTCTAAGAATTCATTTAAAATTGGGATGTCTAGCACCTTGGAGTTACTAGACACTTACATGATCATGTAACTTCGAACTTGATTAATTAAAATTTCTCTGGAATCAACTGGGCAGAGAAGTGTGAGAAGAATTTAGTAAATGGAAAAGCCTGTGTGATGATCAGTGAACATGAGAAGGAAAAATAACGGCTCTGTAGCAAGTGGTCCTGGATGGAGGTGGAGATAAAGAATATATATCACACATGCAGGACACAGGAGATAAAGTTTTGTGTCTTTACCTCAAATCCTGAGAGGAAAGGTAATCAGCTGAAATATATGCTAGTTTGGGGTGAAGGGGAGCATATTTAAAATACTTCTTGGTTAAATGGACGGAAGGATCTGGTTGGGGAGAAACGTGCACTCCTGCTCCCACTTAATTAAATAAATTGTGGTAACTGTCCTGGGTCTCAGACTTTCCAGGATCAACCACCGCCTGCAACCCCCGTCCCCACCTCCAGGTGCCAGCGCTCCCGCCGCCTCACTCTTAGGACACGCGTCTCTATCAAGCTTCCAGGGAAACTGTTTTCAATTTGCTCAAAGAAAAAAACCTCCGCTTCCAGGATAAGTGCCCCCTACATGTCTAATTCTGCAGGTAGCCTGGCTCCAAAGGACACCAGACAGATTCAAAGGAACCCAAAAGCAGAAAACCAGAGGTTGTTGGCCTGGAGGACAAACAGGTCCGGCACATCGCGGGACTAAAAGGATGGCCTGACCTCGCCCCGCCGGGCCCGCCCCTTCGGCCCCGCCCCACTGCGCACGCGCGCGCGCAGTTTCCTGCAGGCCCGGAAGCGGATCGTGCGGAGCAACCGGCACGCTCGGGTCAGTGAGTCTGTTTTTCTGTTTCATACCTGCGTTTAGCGATCGTCAAGCCCCCATCCTCCAAACCCTGGTTCGGGGGTCGCTGCCTAAGTTAAGCTCTCTGAACCCGCTCGTCCCTCTGGCTGTGAGTTCGCCCCTCTCGCCTCTCGCGGCGTCTCCATATGACGCGCCGAGTCCTGTGGCTCCGCGCGGGTCCGGGAGTCGCGTCCGTTTCCGGTTAAAATCGCTCCGAGGCAGGTGCCGCCCGACCTTTCTTTCTTCGTTCCACGGAGACACCGACCGGCTGCCGCGTCGTTTTCCTGCTCAAATCCTTTGTCTGACGCCCGACTCCCCGCCCAACCGCGTGATAAAGGCCTCGCTCAGGAGGTGGGTACAAGCCCTTCGTCCCCTCCAGGGAGAGCAGAGGGGGACAGGGATGGGGAGAAAGAGGCAGAAATATATGGAGTTAGAGGGTCACCAGAAAGTTTAGGGAGAAAGAATACCAGGCGTTGAAACAGAGGTTGCAGCAGAGGGGTGCCAACACTCTAGGAGGAGGAGGAGGAATAGAGAGGGAGGGAAACAAAAGGATGCGGAGAAACAGGGAGAAACGCGGAAATGGACAAAGCAGAGGAGAGAACCGGAAGGAAAGAGACAAATACAGAGAACAAAACACAGTGGTGAAGAAAGTCAGGGACCCAAACCCAAGAAATATTGAGTTGATTGGATATGGGATATTAGGTTGTGAAGTAGAACTGATTTGTGGCTGTGTAACCTAATTAATTTCAGATTTGTTGAACGGTTTAAACCATGCAGAAGAGAGTGAGAGTTACAAAACCAGGTGTTTGCGACATCTGCACTTTCTACTTATTGCACCAGAAGACAATTCCATTTGCAGCCCCTGTGCACCCTGAGGGCAGAGACTTAGCTCAGCCAATTCCAGGTCACCCTCTTCCCTTTCAAGAAATGGGGGAGGACTTTCTGTCACCTGTGGCTCATCTCATCCTTTTCTAAATGTGATGTGTCCTCACACTTGTTTTAACTTTAATATTTTTAATTTCCAAAATGTTATCCCTCTTAATTTTATCGTTCAGATGATGATGTTTGTATGCATTCTACTCTATTATATTGGAACTATTCTTTGATATCTGTAAATACCCACAGTATTTCACTATGCATCTGGTAAGGATGTTGATAATCTTTTAACACTGTAAACCTTGTTTAACCAGTTAGTTTTATAGTCAAGAGATTCTTTCTTCCCTGAAGTGATCTGTTAAATTAGTGACCTCTGAGCTGAAGTCTTCAACTAAGTAGATGTTCCTCTCAAGTTCTCTGTGTCTTTCTGTGCAGACGCTGAAGGATGGGCTGGATGAATGTAAAACTTTGTTCCAACAGAGCCCGTCTGTTCATGGTGAACAGATTGCTCAGAGCTCAGCTCCAGGTGACTCTCTTTCCTGTTTTCCAAGACTAATAACTGTTTGTAAGTTCATTTTGTAAATATTTTTCTGGAAAACAGGAAGTAAATGCTTGGGTTTGGTTAAAGCCATGAAAGAGAAGCTTCTCTTGCTCAGGAATATGTAAAGGAATCTGGAATTAGAGCAGACCCTTTCTACTGCCCTCTCCAGGCCACCACTTACACCCAGGTCTGCTCACTGAACTCAGCCCTCTGCAGGGTAACTTGGTAAACTTACTCCCCCTTTGAGCCTCGGTGCACCCACCTGTAACATGGAGATGATAGAGCAGACCAGGAATTCTGAGTCTGAGCAAATGGGAGCCCTGGAATGATGTTCAAAAGTGGGCATGTGTCTACATTTGGTAGTTTTCTGGGAGAGGGTGCCAGTTAGAATTAGAATTTGGAATGTGACCCAGTCCTCCAAAAAGAATGAAAACCACTAAGAAAAAGGCAGGGACAGAGGCTCAGAGACAGAGGCATGCCTCTCTTTCAGCTTCACTCTGCCTCCCTGTGTTTCATGGGTAAATTTTAAGTTTGATTGTGTCATCTCCTGGCATTAAGCCCTGTTATGGTTCCTCCTGGTCCTCAGGACAAACATCTCAACTCCTCAGTTTATCTATAGCAGGGAGCTCTGGAGCTGGGTGGCCCTTAGAGTTGGTCCAAATTGAGGGAAGGGACAGGCTTCTGTCCCCTGCATCATCCAGGCATTGGATGCTGGCTGCCTATGGAAGAGCCAAGATTTTGGAAAGGCAGTTTCCGGCCACTTTGTGCCAACTGGACAAGGACAGTGCAGTTGCAGCAGAGTGTGTGGGTTTCAGCAGGAGGGGAGGGCTTTCTGAAGAAATGGGTGAAAACTCACTTCTTGGTCCCTATATGGAGTTTACTGTCCCTGCATCCCTCCTGTTGCAGTGGGCAGCAAAGGGCCCTCTTTCCGCTGTGTTAAGGTTCTCCCTGTTTGTGTACTTGTGGCAGAGGAAGGGGGTGTGTTGATTCTAAGCATTGAACATGTTTTTGTCATACAGAATAATCTAAGCTGAGAATCCCAGAGGAAGAGGAAGGAAAGAAGGAATGGCTCTTTCCAAGGTAAAAGTTGTATTCTTAATGGATTGTTCTGTTTTCTCCTTCCTAAAATGCCTCATTTTAGTTTGTAATCTTCTCTGTCTCTGAAGGGTCCTACCTAAAATGTTGACTTAGTGTTGTTCAGGTCACAGTACTCCCCAAAGTACTACTAAGATTCAGTGCAATCCCCATTAGAATCCCAACAGCCGTTTTTGCACAAATAGGAAACCCAGTTTTAAACTTTATATTGAATTGGTAAGGATCCCAAATAACCAAAATAATGGTGAAAAAGAACAAAGTTGGAGGACTTGTAATTCCCACTGTCAAACCTTACTACACACCTAGAGTAATCAAAACTGTGGTTCCTGCATGAGGATAGAAATAGAAATCAAAGCGATAGAACTGAGAGTCCACACATAATCCCATACATCTGTAGTCAATTGCTTTTTCACAAGACTGCCAAAACTTTCACTGGGAGACCAGTCTCTTAAATGGTGCTGGGACCACTGCATATCCACAGGAAAAAGAATGAAATTGAACCTCTGTCTTTCCCCATATAAAAAAATAATTCAAAATGAACCAAAGACTAAATGTAAGACCTAAAACTAAAAAACCATTAGATGAATCGATGGAGGCAAATCTTCCTGACCTTGGATTTGGCAGCGCATTTTTAGATATGATCCCAAGAGGAAGGAGAGAAAACAAAATAGGTAAATTTGTCTCCATTAAAATAGAAAATGTTGGTGCACTGAAGGATGCTGTCACCTAAGTGAGAACCCAATCTATCAAATGGGAGAAAATGCGAATCACATATCTGGTCAGGATCTAGTGTCCAGAGTATATGAAGAACTCTACAACTCAACAACCAAAATACAAAGAACTCAATTAAAAAATGACCAAAGGATTTTAATAGATGTTTCTCTATAGAAGATGGACAATGGCCAATAAGCACATGAAAAGATGTTCAATGAAATTAGTCGTCAGGAAAATGCAAAATCAAAGCCACAATAAAATATAGTTTCACACCCACTAAGATGAGTATAAGAAAACAGAAAATAACTAGTGTTGGTGAGGATGTGTAGATATTAGAATCCTGATACCTTGCTGGAAAATGTCACTACTGTGGAATACAGTGTGGAGATCCTTATAAAAATAAGCCACATAACCCAGTAATTCCTCTGCTAGGTATATACTCAAAAAAACTGAAAACAGATATGCAAACACATGTTCAAAGCAATACTGTCAACATTAGCCAAGAGGTGGTGACAGCTCAAATGTCAACAAAAGGATGCGTGAATGAATAAAATGTGGTATAGTCATAGAATGAAATTATTCAACCACAAAAAGGAGTGTAGTCCTGTTACATACTACACCGTGGATGAACCACAAGTAGTATTCTAAGTGAAAGAAGCCAGACACAAAAGATCACACATTGCATGCCGTTCCATTGATATGAAAATATCTAGAATAGGTAAATCCATAGAGACAGAAAGCACATTAGTGATTACCAGGGACTGGGGAGAGGGAAATGGGACCAACTGCTTAATGGGTAATGGATTTCCTTTGCGATGATAAAGATGTTTTTGACCTACGTAGAGGTGATGTTTCTACAACATTGTGAATGTACTAAATGCCACTGAATGTGTAGTCTAAAATTGCCAACTTTATATTATGTGAATTTCACCTCACTTAAAAAAAAATCAGAGAAATAAACTTGTTCAAAATTATCTTACATGGGGCTGGCCCAGTGGCGCAGCGGTTAAGTGCACACTTCTGCTTCTGCAGCCCGGGGTTGACTGGTTTGGATCCTGGGTGCCGACATGGTACTGCTTGGCAAGCCATGCTGTGGCAGGCGTCCCACATATAAAGTAGAGGAAGATGGGCACGGATGTTAGCTCAGGGCCAGTCTTCCTCAGCAAAAAGAGGAGGATGGGCAGCAGATGTTAGCTCAGGGCTAGTCTTCCTAAAAAAAAAAAAAAAATTTATCTTACATGGATCTGTGAGAGCACTCACTGCAGCCAAGTCAGACCTTACACATGTCTGCTTCTCTCATTTTGTGTCACGATAAGAGCCCTCTCCCTGTCCAAGTGGTGAAATGTGCTTTCCTTTCAGGGACAGTTGACGTTCAGGGACGTGGCCATCGAATTCTCTCAGGAGGAGTGGGAAAGCCTGGACCCCGCTCAGAGGGCCTTGTACAGGGACGTGATGCTGGAGAACTACAGGAACCTGCTCTCCCTGGGTGAGGAGAGCTGCCCTCCAGAAATTGGTAACTACTGTTGTACATCCTTGCGTTTTCCCTTGTGAGTCTCCTGGGAGCCCCGGACTTGCTTGTCTGAGTTTCAAAATCCCTGTTCTTAAGAGAGTGATTGAAGCTGTTTTCATTCAGGATGGAAAGCCTTCATAATGTGGCATATGGACTCTAAATTCCCCTTTCTTCAAAAGTTCTACCTGTTTTGTGCTTTGATTAGTGGCGGTTTCAGAACATTAGTAGTCAGAGAACCTTCTGGAAAATTTTAAAAATATCTGATTCTGTGTTTTTACCCTTGTGCATTTCATCCAGTAGTTCTTGGAGAGAGCTAGATACCTGCGTGCTGGAAATAACCCCTTAGCGTTCAGAAGGAGGCAGTCAGTTGACTGATTGTTGAAATACTCTTCTAGACCCATCTATAATGTCCTCTCTTCTTAGCTGAACAAAGAGCTGGGAATGTGTTCTGGAAAAGCATAGCATATCCTGTTCCGTTTTTCTTTGTAAGTTGAAACCTCTCTTCAGTAGAATGTTACATCTATTTTGGAGCAAGGGAAACAGTGCTGGACCTCAGAGTGAAGGGAAAATAGGAAAAAATACAGACAGATGGGAATGTATGGAGATGTGAGCACAAGTAAGAGCTCAGATAGATTGGTTCAGAGTAAGCTGCCCCATTAAATATTGTTTGGGAAACTCTTCTCAATTTGGAAAGATCTTTGGGAAAATAAAGTTTATTTCTTATGAGTTCTCAAAAGGAATTTCCTCCCACACAGACACTTACCACTCTGTTACGCAAATGTGTAAAGTTTTAAACTCGCACCATACCATGATGCTCCAGCTCTAGCAGAGGCAGGCAAAGACTTTATCATGCCATACGACACACTATTATCTGGCCCCCCGACTACTTTGGTCCCTCCCTTGGAGGGAAACCAAGATGAGTGTCTCTAAAGAGTCTTCTTTCCTCTTGATCTCTCTTGGTTCTCAGTCCATACAGATCAGAGCTGAGGCCTCGGTAGTCCTGAGCCCATGACCTGTTCAGTTTCCATTCACATTTCACATCCTTGGGAGGACTTCTCAGGAGATAGACAAACAAAATAGCTTCTTTTCCATCGTATCTGAGTTTCCATGAAACTCCCTGGGCTGTGTCAAGCCCTATCTGCCTGTTCAGGCCCCCTAGCCATCTCTTCATTTCTCTTTTTGTCACATGTTTGAGAAGAGGAATGGAATTTGAGATTCTTAAAAAGATTTTAAGATTTGAGATTGTTTGACACTCTGACTGAGCAGTAATATAAAGACTAGACACTTGGATCCTCTCTCTGGTCCCCATTGCTTCATCGGAGTATATCTCAGTCTTTCAGGAGCTCACCCCACAGCCTGTAGGCACAGCACACTGCCCCTTCTCAAGAGCCCCACAAATTCTGACTCTCTTATTTTAGTCCCATATCTTATATTTTTCTCCCTCCTACTCTTCTCCCTGTCAGGGAACATAAGAAAGACCTTGGTCTTCCTGATTTATTATTGTCCTAAGATTTTACCTCTGAAACTTGCTTTTGAAGTACACATTCCAAGGGTCTGAAGTGTCATTGTCTTTTTCTGTTGAGATAACTCATCTTCAGGTGATGGACAACTTCTGGTGGACTCTCCCATGGAGGGTGTTTACTGGCTAACAGAAAGTTGTGGGAGAACACTGATTAATATGTTACACATGCATCCTCTGACATACAGAAGTGCCTCTTGAAGCCACCGGGTAGTGGTCAGCATGTCCCAGGATACTGAGGTAGAAAGTATTAGGAGAGCCTGACTAATAAATGTTTTCAGTTGTCCTGTTTTTTGAGGAGTTTAACAGTGTCTCCAAAGGGCAGTATGACAATATTGATCAGACATAATGTGATCATCTCCTTTGAGCCGGCAATAAATGAAAAGTCTAGGAACTTAACCTATGAAGAACACTGTTAAAGTTCACAACCTAATTTCTATGAGAATGTTGACTAAATTGCTGTTTATTCCACATTGTTTCTCCCATGTGTGTGCTCTTGTTCATTCACCTTCAACAAATAGGATTTTGACACATTAAGGAAGTTTATAAAGTTGAATGATGCCTATATTTTTTAAGTCTACTGTAATTTGTTTAAGCCACCGATTGTTTCATCTGGCAAATTTCTTTGCTATAACTGACCTTGTTTTCTATTTATTTAATCAGTTCCATATTTTTGATGATCCTCTCAGTGTTCTTTGTTTTGTACCTATAATTTGGGGCTGTGGGGTCATGGAATGAATATTGTTTTAGGTTTTTTATGAGATTTCTTCCTCAAGTGATTATGACTCAACGTTACTTCCCTCAAAACCAGTATAACCTCCAGAAGTTTTTGAAAAGATGTGTCTTAGTTATTCTTTTTACTTCTGTTTCATATTACTCTGTGCTTAGTAGTAACACACTTTTCTTTTGACAGTTTTTTGAGCAGTTTTTGTTTCACAGAAAAATTGGGCAAAGGGTACAGAGATTTCCCGTGTATTTCCTGCCCCCACACATGCAGGCCCTCCCCATTATCAACATCCACACCAGTGTGCTACATTTGTTATCATTCAGGAACCTACACTGACACATCATTATCACCCAAAGTCCGCATTTACCTTAGAGTTCACTCTTGGTGTTGTACATCGTATGGGTTGGACCAATGCACGGTGACACATATCTACCATAATAGTATCATGCAGACTAATATCATTGCCCTGAAAATCCTCCATGCTGTGATTGTTCATCTTTCCCTCCCTCCTAACTCCTGCAACCAGGGATCTCTTTACCTTCTCCATATGCCTTTTCCAGGATGTCATATAGTTGGAATGAGCAGTATATAGCATTTGCAGATTTTCTTCTGTCACTTAGTTATTTTCATTTCCGTTTTCTCCATATCTGTTCATGGCTTATTTCTTTTGAGTGCTGGATAAAACTTCCATTATCTGGATGAACCTCAGTTTATTTCTCAGCTCACCTACTAAAGGACATCTTGGTTGCTTCCAGGTTTTGGCAATTATGGATACAGCTGCTGTAAACATGTGCAAGTTTTATGTGGAAATAAGTTTTCAGCTCATTTGGGTAAATACCAAGGAGGATGATTGCTACATCGTGGTGTTAGAATATGTTCAGTTTTGTAAGAAACTTCTGTCTTCCAATGTTGCTGTACCAGTTTGCATTCCCACCACCAGTGAATGAGAGTTCTTCCTGCTCTACTTCCTTGCCAGTATTTGGTGGTGTCAGTGTTCTAGATTTTGTCTAGTCTCATACATGTGTCTTGGTATCCCATTTTTTTACATACTTTCCTTAACTAAATCTGTTGGATTTTTTTAAACTGAGAATTTTTGGTGTCTTAAAAACACTTTTTTTAATTAAGTTACTTAGCTACAGAAATACAATTCAGTTGATTTGCCATAGTTTTTTTTTTACTATAAAATACACTGTAATTCACCCAGTGTATGTAGTTTTCAAAAAATAACTTTTGGATTTTACTTTAATGTAACATTATATTTTTTTGCTACAAACACTTATTCTAATACTTATTCTCCTTGTCTAGATTCATCATGCACATCTTAGTCTACTAACTTAATATTTAAATATCTCAGTTTATTTGATGGAAAACTTAGGCAATTTTTTACACTCCATGGTTCTCTCATTACTACTGCTTCTGAGACTTTCGTTTCCCAGACAATTTTTGAAGTTCTTAGAATTACCTATTTCAGCTAACCCATGAAGTCTGTTTTGTTCCCTGTCCTCCTTTTCAACTGAATTCCATAAAAAGTCACTGGTCCTTGTTAACACACATCCCATTGCTGTCCTCTTATTCTGGATATTGCTGGATACTTATTTTGCTGACCACGTCTGCATGTAGACCTTTGCCGTGGATCACCATGGAAATGCCAAAAATTGTTTCTGCACTTAAATGCTGCTACCAACACCATTTTTCTATCCCAGCCATTCTGTGCTCCAGGTCATTTAGTCATACCCCTTGAGATACTGCTTTCTGATGATGTTTGTGAAGTTAGAATTCATTACTTTTGGATAAGTGCATATTAATTTCTATTAATGCATAATGATAACCGTATATCTCTAATACATGTAGTAAGAGCACTTCTCATGTGCTGTCTCCTGTATGTCTTGGACTGTAAAATTAAAGGATCCAAAGATATGATTTCTTTTCTTTTTTTTCCCATTCTTTATGTTTTTATTGTGATAAAATATATGTAACATAACATTTACTATCGTAACCATTTTAAAGTGGCATTAAGTACATTTATATTGTTGTGCAGCCATCACCACCATCCCTCTCCAGAAACTTTTTCATGTTCCCACACTGAACTGCTGTGCCCGTTAAAGACTAACTTTAGGGGCTGGCCCCGTGGCCGAGTGGTTAAGTTCGCGCGCTCCGCTGCAAGCGGCCCAGTGTTTCGTTGGTTCGAATCCTGGGCGCGGACATGGCACTGCTCATCAAACCACACTGAGGCAGCGTCCCACATGCCACAACTAGAAGGACCCACAACAAAGAATATACAACTATGTACTGGGGGGCTTTGGGGAGAAAAAGGAAAAAATAAAATCTTTAAAAAAAAAAAAAAGAATAACTTTAATTATTCCCCCCTCCCCTGAATGTCCTGGCAACTGACATTTGACTTTCTGTCTCTCTGAATTTGACTAGATAGCTCACCTAAGTGAAATCATACAATATTTGTCCTTTTGTGACTGGCTTATTTCACTTAGCATAATGCCTTCAAAGTTCTTTATGTTGTGGCATGTGTTACAATATCCTTTCTTTTTAAGGCTGAATAATAAAGTCAGGGTTTTGTCTGTTAAGAATAAATCATACACACAGGACCTAAAGAACTATCAGTTAATAAAAAAGAAAAAGAATGTAAAATATTATGGACTTTAAAGAAAGTAACATAAACCCATAATGTACTGCTTCTCTGCCTTATGACAAAGTTAGTATTTTCAACATTTATCTTAAAACTCCTAATATTGCTTGGGTAAGTAGAATTCAGTAGGAGATTAAAAATAAAAAGAATGGCTGGGCAATAGCTAGAACCCATCATGTATACTGTAGCTACTTCTCATGATTCTCGCCTTTGTTTCCCTTTATCACGGTTTTTTCTGCTCCCATTTCCTTTTCCCTCTCATAGGGAAAGTAAAACAAAACCCTGTTTCCTCTCTCCTAGGAATGGCCATTTTATGGAACTGTTCACAATTTAAAAAGCAGATGAGTTGAACATTTTGCTCTGACTCTATAAAACAAAAGCCTAAACAAACTGCAGTACATTCTATTTGAGTATAACGTGTGCTTTTTTAGGGGGAGTGAGGACAGGAAGGAGAGTGGAGTGGTTGGGGTGGGTCATGGTCCTTGAGAAGGATGTGTATCAGAAAGATTCTCTTGTTATCCTGGGACCATACAGAGAACTCACCTATCAGAATGTGTTCTTGAATGACTACTACATGCTGGATGCTGCACTATGCACCGGGGGTATAGTGGTGAACACCTAGTCATGGCACCTGCCCTCACAGAATGCACAGACTAGTAGAGGAGATAGTTCTAGAGCAATTATAATACAGTGATGTGTGCTAGTGGGGGAGGGGGTAAAGGGAGGAAGGAGTACGGGCAGCTAGAGGAGGATATAAGCGAAGCATCTAACCCCAACTTGAGGGATCCAGGCAGGCTTCTCAAAGGAAGTGATAACAGACATGAACCCTAAACAACAAGCAGGAGTTGCATGGAAAGAGGTATACAGGGTGTGTTGTATGCAAAGAGGACTGCAAGTGCTAAATTCCAGAGGTGAGAGAGAGGGCAGTGAATTCAGAGAACTGAGGAGTCTGATTGGTCTACTTATCTGTGCATCCTCTCTCCTGATCCCATCTCCCACTGTCCCTTCCTTCCAAAACTTTCCCATGTACCCTCCTGTTTCATCCTTAACATCTTGGCTGAATGCTCCCTCAGCTTCCTTGAATGAATGGTCACAGTTGACTTTTCTCTCTCTTTTCCTCCCTTCTCATCATCACCACATTCAGCCAATGACTGAAATCCTGTGGATATTTTCTTGTGAAGGAAAATTGTCAGACTTTGAATTGGGCAAAAAGATTACTGGGTATCCTTGCCCAGGGCACCATTCCCAGTTTATGTGAGCCTTTCCTTGTTTTTGAAATATTTACAACTCTAAAATTGTAGCACGCATCTAGTAATGCAACTCATTCTTGTCCATAGAAATGCAAGTCAGTTGTATCTGTTGAGTGCAATTGATTATTAATGCCCTAATATTTACCAGTTTTGCCCCTAATTACAGATTCATTCAGCATTTCAGCATTCCTTATTGCCGACATATATGTGTGTTCTTTGAATTTTCCTTGTAACATCTTATTGGTTCCTTCATTCATTAAATAAAATCTTTGACCCGTTCATTTTATGTGTGTATCAATCATTATTTTAGCCTTTAAAAAGGATCCTTTAACATCCTGAATATCTCTTTGAATTTGTTCACTTCTCTCCATTGCAATAACTCTTTCTAGCACAGGTCATCATCATCTTTGCCTAGATTATTTTAACAATTCTCTAATTTTATCCTTTCTCCAGTCTCTCCATCCTATTCCATTCTCTCCATAGCCAGAGTGCTTTTTCTAGCATGTAATTCCAAACATACTACTCAGCTTTGTGAAATCTCCTGCTCCTAGAATAAAGTCCAACCCTCCTGGCATGATTTACTTCTCTAGCCTAATGTGTGATACAGCCCTGCAGTTCACCAAAAATATGATTTCAAATAATTAGAATATTGCAGCAAAAGAGACTCTCATATTTTTATATAACAAGGACATTTTGACTAATAAATTTAATGTGTCAAAATTGATAAATTTCTATTTTGAAAAATATGTAATGTAGTTCACAAGTTATATTCTACCAAATATAATCACATCCCCAAAGAGCTGAAACTGGCAAAAGCCTCCTGCTAACCTTGTTTCCAGCATACAACCTATGTGACCCCCAGTCAGAGATCATCATCCAGCACCCATGGTCACCCTCCATTGCGGGACCCTTGAGAGGGTTTTATTGCATCCATATAAGTTTGTAGAAAGTGGATTCATCCATTCTTGTCTTGGTGGTCATTTCCAGGTTTTTGCTGTTGGGTCTTACTGAGAACATTCTTGTATGTGTCTTCTGGAACATATATATGACTCTGTTGAATATATGCCTAGAAATAGAATTTGCGGGATATTCAGTTTGAGCATTGTTAGAGCAAACATTGGAGTAAATTAAACATACATTCTTTCCATAATACTACACTATCTCCATTTTTAATCTCTTCCTTGTTTGCCTCATCCCCATAGTGTAGTTCCTATAGAATGAGTCAGTATTATGCCTCTTGCTAAATGATTTCCTCTCTTTTTCCGAGCTCAGGATTTTAACTGCCTTAGCACAGTCATATTCCCATAGATTTGCAAGCATAAGGACTGCTCCCACATTGCCCATTACTCTGCCCTTTACTCTTCCTGTTCTAAATCCCAGTCCTGGCCTTTCCCCAGTTCTTGCACTGATGTAAGTGAACTATACTGCACCTTTGTGTGTATTAAGTTTGAGTACCGGGGCACCCCAGTATCCACAGGACCCGCCCCTCCCCACACTGCATACATTGCACTATATCTTGTATGTTCCCTTTTCGTAATTTTTTCTATATTAATGAGTTTTTTTGACTGTAGGTAAGTTTTCAAAGCACATCCTACATACTTTACACATTTTTTGACCTCTTAACTAGATAATTAAGTGATACTCTATAGTTACAGGTTGATCTTTGTACAGTGTGTTATATAACTGCAGGCATGAAATCATAATTGAGATTTCAGACATTCTTCCCTGATTCTTAATCTTTATAATAATATATGTTTACCTGAAACTCATATTTCAAAATTCACTGATTCTAAACATATTTTTCCTTTTTCCTATTGTTTGCTCCTTCTGGAATGTAAATTATTTCTTTATTTCTTTTAGGAAGAATTCTTTAGGGTTCCAGAGACTGTTAATTTGTATGACTGATTACTCATTATCTTATGGGCTATATTTATCATGGGTTACGAAAATGTTTTATTTATTATTGTGATATGCAGTTTTTTTCAGTATCTTTTTCTTGCATCCTACCAACACACCTTATTATAAGGATTAAGAATTAGAGAGGACTCCCTAACTATGGAGTATCATTTATTTACCTGGTTATATCACCATACAATAGGTATAGTGTATAATGTGTGCTTTGAAAATTTATTATCAAAGGTCAGAGAAAATATAGAAAAAATTATAAAAAAATTTAAGTAATCTGTATATCACAATGGTGTTTGAAGAGAATGCTTCAGAAATTTCATAACTATATTTATTTTTGTACAATGATCTAATTCAGTCTAAAATATTTCTCTTCCCACTCTACTTCATAGGAAGGCTTTCTGCTGGATTTTCAATAAAGGAATTATCACCAAGAGAGGACATTGAGAAAAGAGAATTATACCATTTAATGATATCAGAAAGCAATGACAGGCATGACATCAACAATTTTGACCTCAAGGAAGTCTGGGAAAATATTCATGAGCATCAGAATGAATGGGGATATGATGGGAGAAATTACAAAGGAGTGCCTTTGACTCATAACAAAAATTTCATTTGTAGAATAGATTGGGAACATAATAAATCCTCAGTTAACTTTCTACAAAAGCAGAGTGTTTCTATAAAAAATGATGCATACCAGTATTTCATGCATGATGAGCCATTTACAAAGAATTTGTTAAAACTGAAAAATAACATAAGCGATGCTGGAAACAAGTATAGAAAGTGTTTGGAAAACAGAACTGGATTAAGTGGGCAGACACAAGTGGCTGAACTGCAGAGATTTCAAACTGAAGAGAAAATTTATAAATGCTGTCAAGTCAAGAAGTCTGTCAACAATGGTTCCTCAGTTTCACCATTTCAAAGCGTTCCTCCTAGTGTCAAAAACATTTGTAATACATATAGAAAGTTTTTTAAATATCCTTTGTTACCTGCACAGTACAGGACAAAACACATTAGAAGAGAATCTTGCAAATATAATCAAAGTGGGAAGACTTTTAGCAAACACTTAAACCTCATGAATCATGAGACAGTTCATTCTGGACAGAGACCATTCAAGGGTAATGAGTGTGGCAAAGCTTTTAATCAGTGCTTGAAACTTAAGAGACATCAGAGACTCCATACAGGAGAAAAACCATATAAATGTGATGTAGGTGGTAAAATCTGTCGTCAAAATTTGAACCTTGCAATTCATCAGAGAATGGATACTGGCGAGAAACCTTACAAATGTAATCAATGTGGCAGAGCCTTTGCTGAACGTTCAAGCCTTGCTCAACATAAGAGAATCCATACTGGAGACAAACCTTATGAATGTAATCAGTGTGACAAATCTTTTACCAGATTTCTAAGCCTTAGAAGACATCAGAAAATCCATACTGGAGAGAAACCTTACAAATGCAATGAGTGTGGCAAAACCTTTATAGCAGGTTCATATCTTACTCGTCATAAGAAAATCCATACTGGAGAGAAACCTTACAAATGTAATGAATGTAGTAAGGTCTTTAGTCAAAAGTCAGACCTTGCAATTCATCAGAGAATTCATACTGGTGAAAAACCTTACAAATGTGATGAATGTGGTAAAGCCTTTGCTGGGCATTCAAGCCTTACTTGGCATAAGAGAATCCATACTGGAGGGAAACCATACAAATGTAATGAGTGTAGCAAAGCATTTACGGAGAGTTCATATCTTACTCGACATCAGAAAATCCATACTGGAGAGAAACCTTACAAATGTAATGTGTGTGGCAAGTCCTTTAGAGAGCGTTTATATCTTACTCGACATAAGAAAATTCATACTGGAGAGAAACCTTACAAATGTAATGAATGTGCAAAGGTCTTTAGTCATAAGTCAAACCTTACAGTTCATCAGAGAATTCATACTGGTGAGAAACCTTACAAATGTAATGAATGTGGCAAGGTGTTCAGTCATAAGTCAAATCTTGCAATTCATCAGAGAATTCATACTTGTGAGGAACCTTGCAAAAACAAATGTGTAAAATCTGTGACCCAGTTTGCAAACCTTAGAGAACATCAAGAAATCCATCCTAGAGAGAGGCCTTATGAATGTAATCAGTGTGACAGATCTTTTACCTGCCCTGCAAACCTTAGAAGACATCAGAAAATCCACACTGGGGAGAAACCTTACAAATGTAATGTGTGTGGCAAAGCCTTTTGTGAGGGTTCTTATCTTACTCGACATCAGAAAATCCATACTGGAGAGAAACCTTACAAATGTAATGAGTGTGGCAGAGCTTTTGCCCAATTTTCAAGCCTTACTAGGCATCAGAAAACATATACTGGAAAGAAACATTATAAACTTAATATAAGAGGCAGTGTTTTTATTCAAAGCTCAAGCTTTGGGGATCATCAGAAAATTCATGGCAGAAAAAAACCTTACAAATATAATGACTGAGACAAAACTTATGCAAGTGTTCAAACCTTACTCAACATCAGAGACTCAGTCATGGAGGGAAACCATATAATAGTAATGTATGTGGCAAAGCTGGTAACCAGGTCTCATATCTCACTTGATATCAGAATATACATCTCTGAGAGAAACCACACAAATGTAATGTATGGCAAGGCTTATACAAAGTTTAAGGCTTGTGGAACATAACAGAATTCTTACTAGAGAACACTTAGAAATGTAATGAGTGTGATCAGCTTTATCAAAAATGTACAATGTTGTGGTCATGCAAGAATTTGTAAAAGATGGAAACCATACAAATATTTAAAGGCCCTTTAAGCAGTGACCACATGATAGACCAAGGAATTCATACACCAAGGACAGAAATATTACAAATATAAGGAAGCTGATAAATTGTTTAACCATTTCAGTGGACTGCACATAAGAATATTCATACTAGAGGGAACTAAGTCTGTTAGTTTTGAAGATTAACCAATCTCAGATGTTAAATTCCACAGAGAATTAAAATGTTAAAATTATTTGTGACTCATGAGATGATTGTCCATGGGACAGGCACATCTATGGAAAGGTCTAACTTTAGTTTTAAAAATGTTTTTATTGTTTGAGGTTTCTTGAAGAGACTACATTATTATTGATGAGTTACAACCTCATTTCAAACCTGTTGATGTTATACTTTCATTATATCCTTTTCATTTGTCACCAGGATGGTCTCAGGGAAGGGATTGGCAGTATGAAAGGATATACTTCATTAGGTTGAGTTTCTTCATATCCATGGAACCTGGGAAAACTTTGACACTAGTGTTAAGTTGTAATATGGTATAAATCTGAGACCATGGGGAGTGGCAGAGAACAGATGTAAAGCTGTTATCTAAATTATCATGCTAGCTGTGGCCTCAGCCCCTTCTCTAGGTTTGTTGGTGTGACTGTGGGCCTTCTTTGATGAGTATAGGAAGGCTTGCTCTGCTAGATGATCACAAAACCGAGTAGGCCAAGGCATTGAGAAGATGACATTTTCATGTGAAGAGAATGATGGGTTACTAGGGATGGCATATGTGGTTTAAAAAAAAAATGGAGGGGAAATGATAGTCTCCCTCTCTTTTGAAATGTAATAGGTGTAGATTAATGAAAATTGTCTTATTTTTGGTAACTGAACAGACAATAGCACAGTTTAATCATAAGAACCAGGGAAGAGTGTGCTTGTAAAGGATTCAAGTTTGGCACTGGAATTGCATTTTCATGTCCCTTTGTTTATTATGTATTATACTTTCATATCTAAATAAGTAAAGTGTAATTTTTTTTGTAACCCTGAATGAGTCATGTACCTTCTGTTAACCCAAGCGTCTTCCACTTCATTGGGGTGCTTCATAAGGAACACTAATGATGCCTCATTAGGCTCTTTAGGTTGAATGGCATCTATAATAATTTCTTTCCCTGTTAGATTCATACAACTTAAGGTTTTGGAAATATGTATTCATAATTTGCATATGAGTTAGCTCCATAGTGTAGTTCAGATTATTTTTGTGGCTATAATGAAAATACCATCGCAGTGCATTATAGACTCACCCCTGCTAAAACCTGCCTCCCTACACATAAATAGATAGGGGAGGCATAAGATTGGCGTGCTCCACTTCAGCTGCGCCAGGGTTCAGACCTATACCACTCCGTGGTGGCCACACTGTGGCAGCATCTCACATAAAATAAGAGGAAGATTGGCACAGATGTTAGCTCAGGGCGAATCTTGCTCAAGCAAAAAGAGGAAGATTGGCAACAGATGCTAGTTTAGGCTGAATCTTCCTCAGCAAAAAAATAAATAAAAGGCTTTATTGCCAAAAATTACGGACCATCATCTGAGCCTTCACAAGTCACTCTCTTTTAGCTGGTGGTGAGTCTTGTAAAAAAAAAAAAACAAAAAAAAAACTGCAAAGCACAATGTAACAAAGCATGCCTGTCTACATTAAAAAAAAAAAATGAAAGCAGGATCTTAAAGAGATATTTGCACACCTCTGTTCACAAAAGCATTATTCACAAAGGCTAAGAGGTAGGGACAACCTAAATATCTACTGACTGATGAATGCATAAATGAAATGTGGTATGTACATACAATAGAATATTATTCAGCCTTAAAAAAGTGATAAATCCTGTCATTTACTGCAACATGGAAGGTTGAGGACATTGTACTAGGTAGAAAAAGCCAGTCACAAAAAAGACAAATACTCTATGATTCCATTTACGTGAGGTACCTAAAATAGTCAAATTCATAGAAATAGTAGAATGGTGTTTGCCAGGGTCTGGGGAAACAGGAAAATAGGGAGAAAACAAGTGAGTTTAAGTATTCATGCTAATCAATTGACTCTATATATCAAACAAGAAAATGTATATGTTAACTCTGCTAAGCTCAAATGATGTAAAATATTATGAAAGTTATTTGACACAAGAAAGACATGAAGTCAGGGGTGCTCCTACTGTATCTGTTAATAGATACATAGTTACTATGAATCAATGAAAATGTGCACTTTTGCAAATTTAATAAATTAGACAGTATCATCAGAAGAACATAAGTATCTTTTTGGAGAAAGTAAGTAAATGACCCACAGTGGGGAAGGATTGTATTACAGGATGCTCTAAGTATCAGCAGTTACAGGCTGAAACATTTCCTGGCAGTGGGGTGGAGGCCCATGGAGGAAGTTGATGTGCAGAGAGGTCGTGAGCAACATACACAGCAAATAAGAGCCAGAGAACAGGACACCACCAGCAAGTGGGACAAAGGGGACCAGCTGCATTCTGTATGACGTTCAGATGGAGAGGAAACCAGGGAACAAGACAGTTGTCATGTGTTCACTCAAGAGCACAATTTTCAGAACTTTAGAAATTCAGCAGAAAATACAGGTGTTAGAAACAACAGTGGAGAAGTCCATATAGAAGAAACTTAGCAAGAAATGGGCTAAGTTTCCTGTAAAATATGAAATATTTAAAAGTGTTAATTCAGTGTACCAACATGGACATGATTAATCTAGACAGGGAGAGTGATGATTAGAATATGGCAGATATACCAAGAAGTAAAAACTCAGTGAAATTTACACAAAACTCAAGAAATTATGTATAGAAAACTGAAAACATACTATATAAAGAGCAATGAATCTTATGTAACATTATGGCAGCCAATTTAATGGTATTCCTGGGATTATGACTAACAAAAATATATATATTCTCCAGATATGAAAATTTCCAATTTAAATACTGTAATAAACTTGACGAAAGTGTAACTTAATATTAGGTACTAAGGTGAAAAGATGTAGAAGGAATGATTAAAACACTTTTCTACATATTCTGGATTTCATGTAGCATTTAGGGAAACTGCTACTGAGCCATATTGTCAACACTAGAGAAGGAAATAATGTAAAATATGTGAAACAATATCCCTTCCCCAATTCAACTCTCTCATACTTTGGAAATGTAAAACAACACTAATAGCATCATCAAAAATAGTGGAATTGATGACTAAGTGAAAACTTCCTTTATAATGCAAAGAAATATATAAGATGAAAATAATGGCTTAAAGGAATTTACAGTAGTAAATTACAGTATTTATAGTAGTAAATTGAGGGAGCTTATGGGAATTTACAGTAGACTTCATTGAAGGCATCATTCAACTTCATAAGCTCCGTCAATAAGATGCCTCCAAGTTGTACTTGTTGAGGTAGGATGAACAGTGGCACTCATGGGATGGAAAATGTGGCAAGAATAATGGTTTAGTTGACAGCCTCAGAGAAATGAGGATGTGAACTTGGACGATGTCTTCCCAGGAGAAATTTGTATACTATTTATTGTCACTCAAAGGGGATGATCTATGATCAACACTGTCACAGTGCCCTTGAGAGATGCTTTGTGACACTCAAAACCAGAAAGACAACTGGAAACACATCACTTAGGCTCTCATGATACTTCTGTCTCACTGTGCTGCGATATACCACTCCCCTGCCTAGCTTCAAGTGGTGCTTCTGTATGTAGTAGGACAATATTGCAACATATTAGTGAAAGTATTCTCCATCAAGAATTGTCTTACCAAGAAAACCAGCCCATGGGAGAGTCCACCAGAAGCTGTCCATCACCTAAAGCTGGATTATTACAGTAAAAAAAAAAAAAAAAAAGAAAAGAAAAATTTCAGACCCTAAGAATGTGTATTTCAAAAGCAAGTTTCAGAGGCAAAATGATGCAAATAAGAACATGAAATCCAGAAGACCCTACACTCCCAGACTAGGTAGAGTGGTGCAAGAGAGAGAGAAATACAAGATATGGGGCCCAGATATCATGGAATCCATGGGACCTGCACTCTACCCACAGACACCAAACTAAGAGCCTGAAAGTTTGATAAATGGTCTACATGTAGAACTGAGGATCAAAGAGAGCATCTCTCCACTGTCTTCACAGGTTTCCCAAGTAACAATCAGAGACTATCCAACCCACCTCCCCATTACATACAACCCTGAAGTGTGTGGCAAAAGCAAAGGAGCAAAAATGGCTGAGGGACCTGCATAGGCAGACAGGGCTTGAGTGCTCCATGTTGTTTCTGGGGCCCCAGATGGAAGAGAAGAGAAGCCAGGGTTATCCCATCCTCTGATTAGATCTTCCCAGGTCAGGAAATGGGGATGGGACTGGGATAGGTCCAGCAATTAGGACTATGGAGGCCGCAGCTGTGATCTACATGTACTGAGGAGTGAGCACCTGATGGGATCAAGTACAAAAGGAGAGAACAAGGTGGGCAAGTCACCTCTCTGAAACGGCCCACCCCGTGTTCCTGAAAGTCAAGGAAACAGTTCGCAGGAGCCGGATAACAGTGCTGTAGTGATAAAGACTTTGCCTTCATCTCTGTTGGAGATACAG